ATGAAGATTTGCATTAAAATGTGTTTCTACTTAATGGAACCGGGGAAAGCTCCTGCTACTTCTTCGATCGGTCCTTTTCCCTTCACTCTCCTCGCACCTCTTCGTCACATAAATGGGTTGACCTGAAACAAAAGCTCCGACACTCAAGTCAGAATGGGCTTTTGCAAGTCTATATTATTATCACAGAACTGAGAGTTTACCTTCTCCTTTGACTGCTATTTATATGATTTCAGAGAATATTACCTATTAATTTACCTCTTAATGGCTTTCAATGCACACTTTGAATACTCGACAATGACCGTTACCTCATTAACTACACATTCATGAGAATTCAACTGCTGTCTCCAATCCACAGTTTTATACATCTGCCCGATCGGAAACGTTGTGCTAAAGAATTCTTAATGGTTTAAAATTATGGTTGGAACTGGAGCAACGAGGGGCGGCAGAGTTCCTGGAGGAATTGGCGGCAGTAGCCGCAGGGGGCGGCGGAGACGGCGAAGGAGGTCAGGTTGGCCTCCACATTCAGAGAAAGGTTGCTGACGAGGAACTGCTCCGCCTATAGATGCCAGCCACCTGAATGCCTCAGTTTGCCACTTCATAACAAAGTTAACGGAGTTAACTGCATTTAACGGAGATCCTATTATTGAATCACATTTACCAAATTAGAGACCTAATTAATCACTTTCAAAAGTAGAGGACCCAACTGAAATGAACTCCCAAATATAGGGACCTCCAAACCTATTAAACCTTTTTTATCATAATAAAATAAAAATATATTTAATATTTTTTTATTCACTTTCTCGCTTTCGAAACATTATCGCTTTTTATTCTCTTTCTCTTTCATTCTTTCCTTTTTCACTTCTTCTTTAATCAAAACAAAGCTCAGATCTTATTAGAAGATAATCGATATGTTTAATTTAAAAGGCAGAAAAGTAATTGTAAGAGTAGTTTAGAAGGTAAAAAAAGTTTAGGCCTTTTTTATTGCATTTTATAAAAAAAAATGAACTTTATGTCAGGGTGCTAATAGAAATGTGAAAAACTCTTTGTCTTAATACTCTTGATTTCTTCCTTTCTTTTTTTCTTATTCTTCTTCGTCCTTTTAACTAAACCAAAATCAAATCCTCTTGAGGATCTTGAAATCGAGAAAAAAAATTGAGAAAAACAAAGGAATCGAAAAAAAGTAGAAAAATCGAAGGAAATAAAGAAATTGAAAGAAATGGTGAAATTGAAAAAAAAATAATAAATCGATGATTATATAGAATATTAAGACAATGTCAATGAATGAGTTAGCCGATGATAAGAAGGGGAAAAATTCAAAATGTATAGATGAAAAAGACACTCATAAAATAAAATCGAAAGAAAAAAGACGATCAAACCGGACGTTAAGTAAAAGTAATTGGTGTAAATGTGGACTTAATAAGTATAACTGATGCAACGTGAATGATTTTTAGATAATCATTCCAATTATTATTTAATTTAACTTTTTTATTTTATTTTGACTTAATTGTCAAACAAGAGAGGGAAATGTAAATAAATTATTTGTGTCCAAAGAAGGGTGATAAATTGTATTTACAAGTATAATACTCTAAGAATGCTCCCAAACAGGAATAATGGCAATTTTATTGCTAATTGTTGCAATTTGGGTATCCACTTTAGTTTATCTCTTTTATCGATTCTTGTTTTATTTTTTGTAATTTAGTTAATTGCATTTACTTTCTTGCATCTCTACCTTGTTAGTTCCTTTATTTTTGGCGCCACTTTATGTTTTGTGCAATTTTACTTTATTGCAATATTTGTCTTTCAAACAATATTACTTTAGTTCACCTTCTTCTTCGTCATTATCGAAAGCAAGTTTAAAATTTCAACATTATTTAAGACTTTCTAAAAGTTCATTTATTAGAATGAAATGCATAACTTCTTACTTAAAATTCACACAAGACAATTTAGTGGATTAAATATATTTGTAAAATTGATTCAAAATATAAATGGTTTACAAATAAACTTTGTTGAATCATGAATTAAAATACTAAAAACGATTTTGTTTCGATAGGGATTAGTTCAGGACCGAGAGACTAACCTTTTCGACCTGTCCTCCTTACTTCTAAATGTTTGGATCGTCTGAACCGCTCACTGTCAGTCTGGATCGCTCGATTGTCGCCTGCTCCGCTCGGTTGTATTCTAGACCAGTGGGGGGAGGTACATGCAAATGGCACTACGACGCTCAAGTTAGGAGCGATTTAATGAATTGTTTATCACAGTTGAATATCTGAGTCTCGTAAAGTATGTATTGAACGTACTTGGCTTTTGGCCCTGTCATTATATTTATAAGTGTTTCATGGACCAAATAAAAACAAACTTACCTAGAGATTCGGTTAGTTACTCATAAACGACTTTATCAATATCTCTAATAAGTTATATTTGGTTATTTTAACCGTTTGCTAGACTTTTGGCCCAATAATGATTTAAATAGTAATAACTTAAAAGTCGGCCCAATTATGGCCCAACATTGATGTAATGATGGACCAAACGACCTTGAGTGGATGGACCGAACAATGCTAAGTGTTAACCATTCGGTCCATACTGTATACCATACATATGCCCCCAAGTCCGAGTTAAGCGTTTCGGCTTTAGCCATGATTAACTATAGGACTTATATGAGTTTGAGGGAGGCTGCTTTCAGTCGTTGCTTCACCTATGACTGAACGGTGAACTTTATGAGTTCCTCTTTGAACTTTTTACTAGGCCGAGCGGCTGAGGCCGTGTGGTCAAATACCTGTGAGGCCGAGTGGCCGAATACCTGTGAGGTCGGATGACCGAAGTGTAGATGATTAAACTCATTTTATAAGGCTAATGGCGAAGCAAGGGAAAATGTTCGGTTGAACATTCGGATGAGAGTGATTGTTCCACAGTTCTTAGCGTCCAACCTAGGAGTTCATTGGGGAACATCCTAGTGAGAGGACTTTACCTCTCGACTTTGACCTGGGAGTTCCTAGAGAACTTCCTAGTTGGCGAGGGGGATTTACCCCTCGGTTTTTGTACTCCTCTTGGCTAAGTGGTTTGCAAGATCCTATTACCTGCATTGAAAAAATATAACTCAAATTTTAACTTGTTAGAAAAAGAATGCAAATGACTAACACATTTTATAAGGATGGACGACCAAGTCGGTGAGACTGTTCCGTTGAATATACCCAGACGACACTTTACAAAAAACGTTTGTTATCGCTCGGTCTTTGACCTAGGAGTTCGGGGAGAACTTTCTGGTGAGAGGGCTTTACCTCTCGGCTCTGACATAGGAGTTCCTAGAGAACTTCCTAGTGAACGAGAGTGACCGTCCATCAGAAACTGCCTTTACCACTCGGTTTTACGACTAGGAGTTACGAAGAACTTCCTAGTGGACGAGAGTGACTGTCCATCAGGGACTACCTTCATCGCTCGGTTTTACGACTTAGGAGTTATAGAGAACTTCCTAGTGGATGAGAGTGACCGTCCATCGGGGATTGCCTTCACCACTCGATTTTACGACTTAGGAGTTACGAAGAACTTCCTAGTGGACGAGAGTGATCGTCCATCGGGGACTGCCTTCACCGCTCGGTTTTACGACCTAGGAGTTACGGAGAACTTCCTAGTGGACGAGAGTGACCGTCCATCGGGGATTGCCTTCACCGCTTGATTTTACGACCTAGGAGTTACGGAGAACTTCCTTGTGGACGAGAGTGATCATCCATCGGGGACTGCCTTCACCGCTCGTTTTTACGACCTAGGAGTTACGGAGAACTTCCTAGTGGACGAGAGTGACCGTCCATCGGGGACTGCCTTCACCGCTCGGTTTTACGACCTAGAAGTTACGTAGAACATCCTAGTAGACGAGAGTGACCATGCATTTGGGACTGCCTTCACTGCTCGGTTTTATACTAGGGGTTCCTGGAGAACATTCCCTAGACTAGGGGTTCCTGAGAATGTCCCTCGGTTTTTTCGGATGGTAAGCTCTCGTTTGATCAAGAGGCTTGTACGCCGGGTCTTATCACCTATGAGGCCGAATGGCCGAATACCTGTGAATACTTGTCAGGACAAATGGCCGAGCACCTATGACAACGAATGCTCGAATATCTGTGAGGCCGAATGACCAAATGCTTTGTAAGGCTAAATGGCCAAATGACTGTGAGGCCGAATGGTTGAATACCTGTGAATAATTGTGAGGTCGAATGGTCAAACACTTGTAAGGCCGAGTGGTTGAATACCAGTATGGCCGAAGGGCCGAGCAGTTGAGGCCGAAGGGATCGAGCGCCTTTGAGGCCGAATGGCCGAATTCTCTATCGCTTGGTTAAACAAAAACTATTCGACTTTATTTACTTTAACAAAGGAATTTAAACAACAAAAGTCTATGTCTTAAGAAATTGAAATAAAACGTGATAGTAATGTTAAATTTTGAGATGAATCATTTTTCAAGTGTTGGGAAGGACTTTTTCCTTCGATGGCTTGAGATGATAAGCTCCTCTAGTAAGGTGTCGAGGTTATCATGCAGTTGTTTCTTCTTCTCTGCTCTCTTTAGGGGAAATGAAAGGTGTGACTTTTAAGCTAGCGATATAGCATTCTCAAGCTGTTCGTTGATCCACCCGCACAGTACATACGGTTCCTCTGTCCGATGGAAACTTCATAGTCAAATGAGGAATGGAGACCACAACTCCAAAGGTGTTCAAACATGGTCGTCCCAATAAGGCATTATATGGAGTATATGCTTCTACTAATAAGGATCTTATTCTGAGCTCTTTTGCATCTTCGTCTGTTCCAATCCGAGTCCTCAAATCTAAATATCCTCGAGTATTGACTCTTTCTCCTGAAAAATCCACAATTTGTTCATTAAATGGGGATATCAAATCTTTGGACAAATCCATTTTCAGGAATGTTTTCCAATACAGGATATTGACCGAGCTGCCTTGGTCAACCAAGACCTTGTTGATACTGTATCGAGTTATCTCGGCTGTGATGACCATGGGATCATCCTAATCAGGGTCATGAACATGAAAGTCGACATCGGTAAAGGTAATGGATGGCCAGGATTGAGGCTTTCTCTTTACCGTGTGAACAGTTTTCAAGTTCCTTAATTGCCTTCTACGGGCCGAAGACGAGGATCCTCCTCTAGCAAAGCCTCCAGATATAGTATTGATATGCCCACTAACTGAGCGGTCATGTTCATGACTCCGATTTCGGCTGCGGTAGTGTCTTTGATACGACCGTTCGGGGCTTCTATGCTGGGATTTTTCTCTAAGGGCTTCTTGTTCGATCTCTCTCTCTTTTTCTACATACTTTTGGAGGTGACCCGCTCGAACAAGTCTTTCTATTTCATCCTGCAATTCATCACATTCTTCGATGGTATGACCACGATTAAGATGAAACCGACAGGTTTTTCTTTCATAAGCATTTTTGGGCATATGCTTTTTTTGAACTATAAGAAGTTCGGTATCAAGGGATTCCTCAAGAACTTTTGTCCTGGGTGCATTAAGGATGGTATAATGATCATACCTGAGCGCTCGGATGGAATCCCTCTGAGGAGGACCTCCATTTTTGTTGTTATTGTTGAACGATCGTTTTCCTTCCTTTTTGTTCCCGTTCGCAGAAGTTTCTTGTTGTTGCTTTTTTCTCGTGCATCTTATATCTTCAATTCGAATAAACTCAGCCACCCTTTCTTGGAGCTCGTCAATAGTTTTAGGGAGTCTCGCGTACAAATTTTCTGAGAAGTATCCCGCTCTCAAACACAAAGGTAAATTTCTAATGATAAAAATATGGTTAATATCTTTGACCTGCATAGTGGTTTCGTTATACCTTTTCATAAAGGCTCTCAAAGATTCACCCTTCTCCTGCTTGGTATTTACCAGTTTTGCAGGTGTTCGTTCTTGTATTCGACTAGATGCATACTTTCTCTCAAAAAGGGATTGCATAGTGGCAAAACAATACACTATATTCAGAGGAAGGGTGTTATACCATGACAATGCCTCTTCCTTGAGAGATAATGAAAATGCTCTACACATAACTAGATTACTGATCGTGTAAAATGCCATTGCATTTACAAATGTCCTGATATGATCATCCGGATCTGTTGAGCCATCATACTTATCCACTACGGGAGGAGTTTTTTCTGGCATAAGAGTTTGCATGATTGCCACTATGAATGACAATAGATCGATCGGTCTTATGGTTTGCAAAGATGTCGGTTCTTGGTCGTTTCGATTTTTGTTTGGGTTACCATTCGTGTTACCGTTCGGGTTTCCGTTCGTGTAGCCGTTCGAATTGGTATGGTGGGATTGCTCTTTGTTGTGGAGAGTTTCATTATTATTTTCGCCATTATGGCCCCGTTGGGCCGACAACGCTGAGTGCGGATCGGACTGTTCTTGACGAGGCCGTTCGGCTCTTAGTATCACAATCTCCTTTTCGTGTTTCAGCTACATCTCCTGCTGAGGTCGGGCCTACACTTGCATTTGTGCTCGCAAGGCTCGTGTTTGTGTTTGCATTTGGGCTTGCAATTGTGTTATCAGATCTCTAGTGGTCTGCTGCTCCTCCATGCTTCTCGTGGTCACCATTGGGTTTCTTCAACTACTCTCGACCCCACGGTGGGCGCCAAAATGTTTTTGTAGGGATTAGTTCAGGACCGAGAGACTAACCTTTTCGACATATCCTCCTTACTTCTGAACGCTTGGATCGTCTGAACCACTCGCTGTTAGTCTGGATTGCTCAGTTGTCGCTTGCTCCGCTCGGTTGTATTCTAGACCAGTGGGGGGAGGTACTTGCAAAAGGCATTCCGACACTCAAGTTAGGAGCGGTTTAATGAACTATTTATCACAGTTGAATATTTGAGTCTCGTAGAGTATGTATTGAACGTACCTGCCTTTTGGCCCTGGCATTGTATTTATAAGTGTTTCATGGACCAAATAAAAACAAACTTACCTGGAGATTCAGTTAGTTACTCATAAACGACTTTATCAATATCTCTAATAAGATATCTTTGGTTATTTTAACCGTTTGTTGGACTTTTGGCCCAATAATGATTTAAACAATAATAACTTAAAAGCCGACCCAATTATGGCCCAATATTGATGTAGCAGATGGACCGAACGATCTTGAGTGGATGGACCGAACGGTGCTGAGTGTTAACTGTTCGGTCCATACTGTATACCATACATATATTTGTTTGTTAGTTCCATTAGAAGAATCCACATTGAGTTTATTTGGTTCACTTAAAAGTACTTGAACATGCATTGAGCCAAATTCTCAAGAAAGAATTTGACATGCTTAGTGGAACACTTGTGTATTTAGGTATTTAGTATTTACAGAAATGACTTAATTCTAAACTAGTATAAATTTGAAAAGTGTGAACAATGCGTATTGGTTAGAATTTTTTTTGGTATAGGTGATCTTTTTTTTGCATTATATATTGCCTATTTGGTTTTATTTGCTACTAAATATTGATTCTGAGAAATTTTTTTAAGTCATTTTGTTAATTTGTATCCATTTTTTATTCTGATTCATTTCTATGTGCATTTTTTCTTTAGTTTGTTGGCCTCTTATAAGGAGGTTTCTTTCACTACTGAATATGATTTATTATGTATTATGATTTATGTTCTATGTTATGACTAATGTTGTGGCTAATTTTTCTAGCTTTGTTTCTTTTGTTATATGTATTGCTAATTTCATTTTATGTGACATTCAATGTGGATTATGAGACATTGCTTTATATTTTGAATTTGTGTTAATTATTTAATCTTCATTCTAATTTACTTTTATGTGTATTGTTTTCTTCCAAATTTTCATTATCTTGATTGATTTCACTTACATTGGTGGTTAAGAAGCTATTGACATCATATCATTGTGTCAGGTGTAAACTGTTAAAAAGTGAACTTTAAGTCTAACTCTACCCCACAAAACCAGCTTGTAAAGTGAGGTTTGCACCAATTTATTTACTATAAATCGGTCTTATGGGTGGTCCGATAGTGACCAGATAGCAGGTGATATAATATGTTCACACAAATCTCGCTAGGATAGGCTCTAACCTAGCTTTGATACCATGTTAAGAAATGAACTTTAAACCTAACTCAACCCTACAAAACCGACTTGTAAGTTGATATTTGCACCCGTTTACATACTATAAATTGACCTTATTTCTAGTCGAGATGGGACTTCGAACATAAACTTAATGTCAGTTACAACAAAGAAACTTCCTTTTTATAAAAAAAAATACAATTATTTAGCCATTTTTATTTTGTTTATTATAGTTTTCGTGAAATTATTTTTCTTCTTATTTTGTTTTTGTTTCATTGTGTGAACATTACTTGCATTGTTTAATGTCAAATTTCTAAATTAATCTTCTTTCTTTATTAATTTTAGGGCTAATTGATTATGTGTTGACATATTTATGAAGTTTTCAACACTAAAAAAAATATATAACTTATATTTAAAGTCAATTTTAATGAATTTTATTTCCAATCATTTCATAAATTGCTTAGGTGGATGTTGTGCCATGTTCTTTAGTCTTTATGCCTTTTCCAATTAGGTTTTTTTCACCATTGAATATGTTTTTTGTAGTCTTTGTTCCGACAAATCTTCTTCTTTATGTTGTATGTTATGCCTACTTTTGATTTTGTTTTCACATGCATTGGTGGCTAATGATATGTTCGCACCATTTTATTGCATAATATATGTTGGGTACAAACAAAGTCCTACATCGGATAAAATATGAAATACACATGCGTTTATATACTAGTGTGGAGATCTATGGATATATGTGTATATTGAACCTACACAACATCTGGTATCAGAGCCCATGGTTTAGGTCTGATGTTGGGTACAAACAAAGTCCCACAACGGATAAAATATGAAACACACATGAGTTTATATACACATAATATACATCCCTTAATAAGAGGCCTTTTGGAGTGGGCTTAGCCCAAAGCGGTCAATATCTTACCAGTATGGAGATTTATAGATATATGTGTATATTGAACCTACACAACATCAATACAAACTTTATGTCATTGATATACATTGACTTTTTTTAATGTTAATCTTCTTATTATGTTAATATTTTATTACTTTTAGGGTCATTCCTTTTGTGTCGATATATTTATATAATTATGAAGTTGTCAACACAAAAGAGAATGTAGTAGTATACATTTCGGTATGTGTTTTGTCTGTTTGTATAGTCATATTGTTTAATGTCAATTTTTTGAACTAATCTTATTTCTTTATCATTTTTTGGGCTCATTTCAGTATGTGTTCGGCTTGATTTAGAGGTATTGATTTTTTTTTTTCAAGTCATTGTGTTCATTTGTATCTAATTTGCATTCTGATTTATTTGTATATGTATTGTATTTTCCCCAATTTAAAAAATCAATGGTATACATTGCCTATTATTTTTTATTGTCCCCATTTTGATTTGTTTTTCACATGCGTTTGGTTGACACCATTTTATTATGTTAATATTATCTTGATGTCACCTACAAAGAAACATCATTTTTAGCACATAAAACTCATTTGTTTACCTATTTTCATTCTGTTTATCATAGTTTTTATGCCATTGTTTATGTTATTGTATAATTTTTTTCTCATTATATGAATATTAATCGTATTGTTTAATGTTAATTTTCTGAACTAATCTTTCTTCTTTGAGTTCATTGATTATGTGTTAACATAATTATGAAATATATAGCCTAAATTTAAACTCTCTTTTTTATGAATTTTATTTCCAATTACATAAATTGCTTAGGGTAAATTCTATGGCCTACAATGTGAATTCTATACATTGGTTTTATTTTTACACATTTTGATTGTACGTGGTTTGACTCTCTATATACATTGGTCTAAATTTTTTTAGGTTACAGTCAATTGGTTAAAGTTATTCATTACTTTGATTCTTCTATGGTTTTTTTCCCAATTTAGAACGTGGTATACATTTTTTTTTTCACAATCTCTAACCTCTATGAATCTCTAAACCTCAAAATCTAAAAAACATGTTAATTTTAATTTCCCCTTTATCATAATATTTGCTTTCTCAATTTATTTTTCCTGTCAGGAAATAGATATAGGCCTAATTACCACTTCATTATTTCTATTTCATTTTATATCTGTTTATATTAAAAAGTAAAAGTATTAAATTAGGGTTTTTATATATGACTAAATTTTATTTTATTGATTAAAAATATTTTTAACAATACTTATATAAGTGTTGTATGAATACAAATTTAATGTGTTATTTGTGCCAAAATATTAATTCTTTACTGTTAAATAATTTAATAAAAGTGTCAATGTATTTTTTTAGTAACTTTTTATTTTCTAATAATATAATTTTCATTTCAATTCGAGAAAAATTAGTTTTTATCTATTTCATGAAAATGTTTTTCATAAAAAAAATATTATAAACAATTAAAAAATATTATTTTCTTTGGATTTAGAGAAAATACCGAATATAATTCATGTGAATGGGGGTCATGAGGTAATTAAGATATATTTTTTATTCAAAATAGTAAAACAATAAATTTGTAGACTTTCTAGATATATTATTTACTTTACTCAATTTTATATAATATAAAGTTTTTAACTCTCCTTTAATTTCTAATATTTCCTATAGTTGTTATCCTAAAATAAAAACATGTTGTGTCACCTTTGAATTATCATAAAACTTACATTTCCTTTCAGATTAATTTACACCTGCGTAGTCACGAGTGAGTGGTGGACTGTTTATAGGCCCAAAGTCTATGGAGGATATGTAAGCCTAACTATTGGGCCCACTTCATTTTAATTACTTATTGTAGTTAAGCAAAATGCGACTGTGCTATCCACCTTCGATTTTCTGGTATTAAGTACGGGCAAAAAATAATAGAAAAATAAATGTTTACCATAAAAACAAGGCTTAATTATTCTATTGATTCCCACTTCGATAAAGTTTCAAGTTGATATTCAATTAACTTTTTTTAATTGTGTCTTAACTTTTAAAATAGTACCTTAGGTTTTTTCAAAACAAAAAAAAGTTACTCATAGAATTCACTTGTTAATATATGATTTTTTAATTTTTATTAACTTTTTGTTTTTTTAAATTTAAAAAAAATAATCAAAGTTTTTATTTATTTACATGACAGGCTCTTAGTATAACAAGGGATAATGTTAT